AGATCCCCAGACCTTCTATGATTCTTATACACCCTTCCATTATAATAAAGCGAAGGACCCATCCGTGACACGAATTGCCTTGGAAATTGACGCTCCAACGTTCAACCTCAGCAGCGGAGAGGGCTGTGAGGTTGCCTTGCGGTCAGCATTACGACCCTCTCATCTAAATGGTGGTTCTTCCACTGCCTGACTGCACTCGATAGGGCCCACAGAACTCTTCTTTGGGTCGACTCAACCAATGTGGTCCAGCTAACCACAGGTCAGAGGACACAAGCTCTGCATACAATCCTCGGGTAGTTAGATCTGCAGGATTCAGCTTGCCAGGGCAGTAGAACCAACGGGAAGGATCAGTAATATCCTGTATTTCCAACACTTTATTTGCCACGAATTGCTTCCATTCTTATGGTCTCCTTGAATCCATGCCAACGCCACCATGAGTGCTTGTCCAGCAACTGTATGCTACATTGTTGGGCAGCCTCAAAGCCGTCTGACAAAACGCTCAGGCAGGAGCTAGCCCAGGCAGCCGCAGACAAGACAAGGTGGAAGGCAGACCTTCTTTAGAGGAGCAACCCTGGGCCCTTGACATAACTAACGACGTTTCAAAAGGTTCCCTGAGGAGTTGGTGTCCGTATGACACCACTGCTCCATATCCACACTCAGAGGCATCCCAAAGACGTGAAGCTCTATTTTCTCTGTGGCTCTTCCATGCAACCTGTGCGTAGCACCGGGGAATCCGCCACTCACATAGCAGTTTGAGACCTGCCAGCCAACGAGAAAATCTCGAGTTGACCACACTCTGATACCTCCATCCCACTGCAAGGCCCATCTGCCACAACTCTTGAAAATATACACTGCCATCATTGAGAGAATGGCATGAGGAACCCCAGTGGGTCGAAAAGCCTAGCGATACAGCTCAGGACCAATGCGCTTAGTGATCACCAGATTAGGCGGCACCTCTACTTCCCCCCTAAAGGAGAAAGCATCATCTTGCGACAACCAACTCACTCTAAGTATTTTACGGGATCCAGCTCTGGTGGATGTGCTTTTCGAGCGACTTGCTCCACATTTCAGTAACTACCCCGACTGATCCCCACTTCTGCAAGAACCATCCCTGCCTTCTGCATGACAGCTTGGGCCTCAGTGAACATGGCCTAGGCCTCTTCCACGCTGTCTGCACCTGATAGCCAATCATCAACGTAAAGATTCCTCTTTGAGCTCCTCAATCACGGGGCGTAAGAGGGCAAGCGAGCGAGATGAGGCAATGGTGGCATTCAGCAGGAAGGGACTACTGTTAATTCCAAAAGTAAACCCGGCGCGAAACGCCATTTGTCCGAACAGAATTACCATCATCCCAAGAAATCGCGTGAACATCTCGAACTTCCCTACCTATTGCACCTGTAAGAAGGCCTTTTGTGATATCCGCTGTCAAAGCCACAGGCCAACGTCGGTAACGCACTAGGACTTCTACTAACTCGGTAGTCAATGATGGTCAGTCTCGAGCACGCGTCGTGAGGGACACCCATTAGAGCGCCTTTGCCTGATGCATCAAAAACAGGACGAACCTTTGTTGATGTACGGCTTTCTTTCACGCGACGCGGTCTATGCAGGCAAGATAGAAAATGGGCCATGGCACACTCACTTCATGCTTAGGGATCTCTTTAATTACCCCATTCTCTTCCATCTCATGCAGGGCGCCTCTATACCTATCAGCTAATGAGCTATCTCGACTCAACTTACGGGATAAACCTTGTAGACGAGCTTCTGCCTGTCTCTCATTATTCAGTAACTTGGGTAGGCTTGCGGGCTCCTTCCATGGGAGGGCAACCTCATATCGACCATCTACGAACGTGATCGTCTCATTGAAAGTCTCCAAGACCCGATCCGGTAGCCCCTTTTCTCCCTCAAATATACCTATTGACTCTAGCTCCCAGAAGTTGCGAAGAGCAGGCTCTAAATCATTCCCAACGCATAATAGCGAGAGTGTTTCCAACTGGACACCCACTCCCGCTTGTCTACCAGATAAGACCCAACCAAATAAGGTCTCGAGCAGGACTGGACCTTCAGGCAAACGTTTCATCCCGTCTTTCACAAGGTCCCAGTAGTGATCCATGCCTATTAGGATATCAACCGAGGCCTCCTCGCCACCTGAATAGATGTCCGCAAGGGGTAAATCGCACGACTTGACTAGTGAATTTAGGTTCTTCATCAGAGGTTGTCTGTAGAGCGGAAGCAGATGGCACCCTTGCATTCCTCCTCCTTTCTGACGTCGAGTTAGGCAGCAGATTCCTTTCAAGCAGAGTGGGAGACAGCCTCTGACCTCTCACGCAGCTCGACTTCCGTCTTTAAGAAGAGGAGGAGTTGTTGTAAGTCGCACTCCTTTCCTTCGCTGCATCGTGCCCACTCTAGTCGAACATGCGGGGTAGCCTTGAGAGAACGACAGCTGTGAGGAGAACTCCATATTTCTCTCCTGGAATTTCGAGCGCCTCCAATCCCCTCACATGTATCAATGGCTTATCTTGCAGCTTCCTACGCGACTCAGTACATGAGCCTGTGTTTGTCATAGACAGTGACAACAGCGCTTGCATGTGGGCATTAAGAAGCAGCGCTCGTCTGCCAAACCTTTCCTTAAGGAGCAGGCACGCCGTTGCGTAATTGGCATTGGTGAGGGTCAAACCATGTATAGTCGACCTTGCCTCTCCTGTGACGAGAGACTTGAGGTAGGTAAACTTACTTACATCAGGTAGCTCCGATGCATCTACACATGCTGCAAACTCGTCCCAGAATGCTTGCCATTCTAGAGCATCACCATGAAACTTGGGCAGCTCTGGGCGAGGCAACTTCACATTTGCAAGGGAACTAGCACTGTGGTGACTGGAAGCAGCATCATTATTGTTGCAGGCCTGTTCACCTAGCTTCTGTAGCACGCGGCTAGCCGCTTGCCGCAGTGGTCGCACAGACTGGTAGAATGCTTCAGCTGCATCCAAGTCAGCATCTAGCTCCTCGTCTGGAATATCGAGTTCCCACTCTGTCTGTGCAGCGTTCAGCGTAGCCATACGCCTGTCATAGTTCTCTATGGCATCATTCCATATAACTGCGTCTATCTCTTTCTTCTCGAGCAGCACATCTATTGCACGTGTGGCTCTCGTTACCCAACCTTGTGCAGCCGCCCTCTTACGCTTCAAAGCAGTGACTGACATAATGTTATGGTAACTTTACAGTATCAAAAGTAAACTCTGGGAGAGCTCCTGTCTAGACGGCGGACTGAAACACCGTCATATACCTGTTCAAACAGTCCGCTCTGTGCCTGCCCCTTCAGTATACATACATGCACGCACAGAAATTCCCGGGTTTCGGTACCAAATTGTTCAGAAAACTCTAACACAGATTGCAGGTGTACACAGAAACGTCTTTCTTTTAATGCTCTAGGCATAACCACATACATCGACACAAGCCTTTCCAGTAACTTACTATTATATCAACTGCGTATAGAGTACTTATGCAGTAAACAGCGTACACAGTATACATGTAGTTTACAGTGCTTCACCAGCACTCTCAGATGTACAACTGACAATCGAGAAACGCCAGCTAACGTTTGAGATCAACGGCGAAGCCGAAACCTACCGGCTAGCTGGCTGAGTCAAGTACAGTGCTCAACTTTTGTTTAGTACAGTAGTCAATCTTTAACATGCGCATTGTAAAACATGGCGGTTGAATATTCGTGTTGAAAGTTTGTGCTGTGAGAATTTGCAGATTATACCGCGAATTAAGAGATAGGCCTACATTCTAGTTTAAAAGGACGACAACTGCGAGTTAACGCTCATATTTCAAACGAGGCAAGTCAAAGGTGGTAATAGAATAGTTATATTTGAGATATACAGAATTATTCATGTAGATCTGCAGAGGTGATAGGTTTTTTGTATGGAAGGGTATCAGGCTGTATAGACAATCTGTCGCACAGCCTGGTTGGCCTATATCACTGATGGTCCGTCCGCGAGAGTCTTTCTGGCGTCTTTTGATGCGCGACTAATATTGGTCTAAATGGCGTCTTTTTGAAGAGTTTTATTCAGAATGGCCGGGTTGACTCCGAAATGACGCTTAATGGACGCTATAACAACGGCTTTTTCAACAATTTTCGAATGATTACGAAGACACTGAAATTCATGCGAAAAGACGCTTGATGGCGTTTATAGTATATGACGTCACTACCGGTTATGGATTCGCGGCTTTCGCGCTCTTTTTCCTTATTGTCACGAGGTGGTTTTGCTTGATTGGTAAGTTACCATGTTTTATTATGACATTATTATCTTTATATCGTTATTTAAATGACATGTGATGATGCAAATGGTATGCAACTTATCACTGATACGTCCTAGAATAGTATAAGAGCAAGACACAAAATACACAGTGTTGAGTACTAAAAAGACGTAGTTCATTGTTTGTACTGTAGAACATAACAATTTCACGTTACAATCAATAGTATTATAATAATGAATATACACACTAATCTAAAAACATCTCAAGCAAATTCTTGTTACAGGTGACAATGTCATTTCGTGTGCCCAAATCAAAGCAATAATTGCAAAAGAATATGTTGATAACTTTTTTAAAGACCTAAGAAATGATAACTATAAGAATGATAAGTTACTAATACTAACATACCTACTATAGCTCTAGTACTATAGCCCGCTTACATTAACTGCCGCTTATACAGAAGAAAACGGGGTAACATGGTCGAGGTCTGGAAGCGATTATACATGGTAAATACAATTAATGGACAACCAATACCCATGGCTAAAACTAGATAGCAACACACAATGTCTTAATTAGATACAATAGTGTATAAACGGCAAGTAGATATCATACACTCAAAAAGAAAGCATTTATAGCTTTAGAACCGTCAGCGATTGGAATTCCCTGCCCGAAGAGGAGACACCTCATCCCGTCACAATGAAAATGACTGCTGCGAACAAAAGCGGTATTCCTATAGCAGGCGACGGACACTAGACCTTTGCCAGTGACCACACCCCATATTCATCTTGTGCCACCCATACTTGTGTGCCTCTTAGGTGTTCAACGAGCACAAGTATGGATGGAGTGACGGCAAGGGGTGCGAGCCACTGGCGTGTCTCTTCGTCTTGTGATGGTCTCTGATGGAACGTCACCTCGGCAACCTCAAAGGTTTTCTCGATGAATGTCATCGATACAAACCTCTGTATTTGTCCTGCAGAGCAAATGACAAAGCAGACGCAAAGTTTTTAGTATGATTAGAGAGTTGTCCAAGTAACATATATTTAAAGTGGCTTGGTAGTGTTAATTTAAACTAAGTGACTGTGTTAATTGCAAGCGCGTAGCCACGGGGGTCCGGGGGGGGGGGCCTAGGACCCCCCAATCAATATTTTTTTTACATTTTTTCGTTACATTTAACTTGAAAAAAAATTTCAGACCACCACTCGCTCGATCCCCCCCTCAATCCAAATTCCTGGCTACGCCCTTGGTTAATTGTCAGTATAATTTGTTTTCCTTGTTCCTGCAATTATATTGAATCGCACAAAAATGGACACCTTCTTTGCTTTCATTCTGATACAAACTATATATGTATTTTCTCTTACCTATGTAGGTATATTTGATCTCGCCGCCTACATTTATCATGTTCGGAGCTGCTGGACCATGTTCCGCTTCGGAAAATTCCATTTGGACGTACGATCCGCAGTGGTGCCCATCCAGAGAGTAGCTGCAGAACTTGTAGAGGCGCTGCTCATCTGGATGTGGGATCACTGCCCTCGCAAACTCCGTCACCTCTCGCGGAGGACCACGGAGAATGTCCCTGATAATGTAATTGATCAACATAAATTTACAAAATTTTATAATTTACTGTACACGTTTAATGTTTTGTTTGTTTCAACATATATATGAACGAAATTAACCTTTTTATATTTTATTTATCTACTTACTCGTAGTGCGGTATCCGCAGGTGGCAAGGTGGCTCCCACTCGCCCCGGATTGTCGCGGGAAATCGTTGGGCCTCGTAGGCCTCTACGAGTGCACCCGCACGCTCTACGTAATTTTGGACGAACTCGTCGAGTTTTCCATGTAAGCTGTCATCAGCTTGTATAGCCTGTTAAATGATTAAATTATGCATAAGCTTATTGTAATTTTATTTATCATGCAATGTAATCATACATAGTGAATGTAGCCATATATGTTGTGCAATAACACTTATAGATTACTTATATAATATATGCTTAAGGGTTACCCGAGAACGTCCATGCAGAGCAGAGATGTTCCTTAGTGGCGCACCCTCTGCTCGCTCCATGAAGTCCATGTAACTCATTGAGGCATTCATGGAGCCGTCTTCATCATGGTTGTCAGCATCTGAAGGAAGTAAGGGTTGTCCAGTTGTTAGCTTGTAGTATTGCTTGGTAATTAATGTGCATTTGTGTGTCATTTCGTTTTAACTGTAAACTAAAAAAGGGTGCCATTTACTTACTTTCACTGTAGAGGGCCTGCAAATAGTTTTCTATACGTTCTTCTGTGACCGCTAGGTCTCTCAGTGGCTCGGGTAGATGGCCAATGCCGTTGTGACGAACCATACCATAGACGTTGAAGAACTGGTAAAATAGAAGTGTATTTTTAGTACATATTTCGGAATGACTAAAACTCTTTGTATTAAAATAGTTACACTGGCTTAACACTCGGAATGCTTTACATACTTGGTACTTGTTCATGATGGCCTTTTCCACTTTCCTTCTGCTTGTGCAGATTCTTTTTATTTCTTGAATGAATCGCTCCATTCCAAAAGAATGCGTTACATACAGGTTGCCGTATTTCAGAACCTGGTCTGCCAGGTGATGGTGCAAGTGCATCATAGTCACCTATATCAAAACAATATTTCAAACTGATAACATTGGATTTACACTAGCCCGACAGGCTATCAACCTAAAATTACAATTACTGTCAGATGGTGCAGCTTGCATGATAGAAGTTCTGTCTTAGACAGATGATGTCGAGATAGTCTTTTTTTAAAGAAATTGTCGTAGAAAATGGCATTCATAAATGCTCAGTTGTTAGTCTCAAACCTGGATTGATGCAGGAAAGTTTTTCTCAAACTGTGCCATCGTTTCAGCCAGTAGTTTTTTGGTTTCTATCGTTTGCTCCTGTGATGCAGGCAAGTACAGCTGCTGGATGCACTGGCAGTACTTTATTATGGTGTTCCGCTGCACAATTCCGAGGCATCCCCGCAGGCAGTACACTAGGACACCTTTCGTGAGGGCCTTTGGTGTAAAAAGTACAATTTTGTTATCAAAACTTGTAAACTGAACTGTTACATATGAAATAATGTAGGCTTAAATTGTTATACCTCTAGCTTCTGCGCAGAATTGAACTCAAGGTTGTTGACAAGGTCAGCTGAGGAGCGATAGGATGATGTTTTTGGCGGACGGATGTTTTGGCATCGCCTTGCAACAATCATTTTCTCCTCAGCTGACAAGTTCCAAGGAGCATCCGGCAAATCTTCCTCGTCGCCTTGCATCTATTTTCAAGAAATATTATATAACATGAAAGAAAATGTAATTTTGAAAGGCATCAGTAGCCTATGCAATGTTTGTGCCAATGTTAATTAATTTTTTTGCATGAAAACAATCTAATTACCCATGCTTCAGGGAATCTTCCCAAGGCCTGCTCCTGCAATAGCACTCTCCTGCCATCGTCAGGTTGGCGCTTGAGTAGCAGGTTCATGATGCAGCCAAGAATGTTGATAATCTTGTGCACTGCATCAATTACTGGACTGCAAACTAGGTTGAAGCCTGGAACGCGTTGGAGGTGCGTTACTTTTTTTATTCCGCTATCTCGCCTTATCCGCCTCATCTCGTCTCGGTTGCCTGTTCGTAAAAAGGATTATTTCAATATATCACCAACCAGCAAACTCATTAAAAGCAAAGCTCTTTCCCAACGAAAATGTTTCATTATTTTTACAAAGTTTACGTGAAAGTTTTTAGTTCGAGATTTTTACTCAAAAACGCACAATTAAAAAAATGTGTTTCAGATATATGTGGTTACATTTCATAATTGAAATACTTTCAAAATATGAATGCTTGAGTATAGTATGTAAAGGGCTAATACCAATGTGTTGTGCTGCCATGTATTCTGCAGCTGCAATTCTTTGGCCAGCATCTGTTTTGTGTTCTGGTGGTGGCAGTAGTTCGGCGTTGGCTGTCAAAATATTGCCAGCCAGAAAAAGGCCTCTGTCTGCATGTCTGAGGGTGCTCTCAGCTGGTAGGAACCTATTTAAAAGTTTATGAAACTATATGAATGAATGGTAAAATTTTTATTTAGTACAGCATCGATACGTGTATTGAAAAGATTTGTATACCTTTAACATTGACTGATGGTGACTCACCTCCTATTATCGGCATGAATTACTTTCCTGAGACCAGGAAAGTAATTTCCATCAATGGTGCATTTCATGCAGCTGCTGTAGCTGGCTACTCCAGTCAGTTGCATCGCTAAAGAGTGGCCTTCATAGTCGGCTCCAGTGAAGAGCAGCTTGACGTTAACGAGGTGGTGGTGTGTATTTGCATCCGTAATGTCTATGTCGTGTACAAGTTCGTCTATTAACGGTTGAAGGTACGTTGAAAGGTTTTGTGGTCTTTTTGGGCCGGGAATTATGCCGTAAAGGAACTTGTTTTCAAATTTGTTTCTAATGGGGGCCGGAAGGTTTAAGAATTTAATAGTGATTGGCCAGATAGAGTAATTTTTTGTTCTTTCAAAAGGGGAGAAGCCATCAATTTCAATGCTAATTATTATGTCATAAGGGTCAGTGAATAATATTTGCCATGTGTGTTTGATGAATGTCATATATTCTTGTACCTGGAATGTAGTGTGTGTGTCTGTGTAGTGTCATAAGTGAGTCAAAGTTGAAGCATTTGAATTGTGATTTTATAAATTTTGTCAGATGTGAATATGTAAATATTTTTCGTGGCTGTCCATTGTGTGTGTATCGTGCTGCAGTGCATTGTGGGCAAGTGTCAAGATGTTCATATTGATGCGTGAATAGTATACAGTCGTTGATGCATGCATGTATATGTCTGTCATGTTTCCAGCAATGTTGTTTATCATGTGTTTTAGTTGTTTGAATGTGTGTGGTAGTAAATTTGGTTGGGGCAGAATGGCTTTCATGATGCGGAGAAGTTGTTCCATTGACTTTTTTGCGATTTTTCCGGATGTTATATAAAACCCTGCAAGCAGAGCAATTGTTTGCAGAATAGTTACTACTGCTGCAGGGTACATGGGTCTGTTGTAATTTCCATCGTAGTCATCGTCTCCGTCATCGTCTCCGTCATCGTCTCCGTCATCGTCTCCGCCATCGTCTCCGTCATCGTCTCCGTCTCCGTCATCGTCTCCGCCATCGTCTCCGTCATCGTCTCCGTCTCCGTCTCCGTCTCCGTCTCCTTCATCGTCTCCGTCATCGTCTCCGTCTCCGTCTCCGTCATCGTCTCCGTCTCCTTCATCGTCTCCGTCATCGTCTCCGTCTCCTTCGTCGTCTCCTTCATCGTCTCCATCATCGTTTGCGTCATCTCCAAAGTTGTCGTCGTCAAGTCCGTCATCTCCAAAGTTGCCGTCGACAAGTCCGTCATCTCCAAAGTTGCCGTCGTCAAGTCTGTCATCGTCGCCACCACCTCCTATTGCTGCATCCTCTTCAACCTGACTGATCGCGAAAGTCCGTTGTTGAGAGTCCGTGCAAGTCCGCACGAGTCCGTTGTGGACTCTGTGCCTGAAAAGAATTGTTATGTGAAGTGTCATTGCTCATTTGTTACTGTCATATGTACATTAATTTTATATACAAACGGTGTTCCAATGCGTACCTGTACTTTGCCTTGTGCTGAGGTAATTGTCACCTCTGCATTTGCTGCACAGGCACCTTTTAATTGTAGACATCTCGGTAAATGTAAAATGTTTCAGTTTTTACTGTTATATATGATTAAAGGCATACTACACAAAATAAATACATACACCACGCCGCCATTAATTCCTACGAATAATACTATGATTTCATATTCACCGACGCGATAATTAAACATTGTGCGAAATTGTCCGTCAGGCATTGTAAATTTGTCATGAATTCAAGGACATGATGTAGGATGTGTCAGCCACGAAACGAATGTAAGCTCTGTGCACCAACAGAATCTGTCATCTTTTTTTGTTTTTTTATTTGTGCCCCCCAAACCCCCCCCAAAAAAACCGTGTTGGGACACTGGACGACACGATGACGATACAATTTCGATACTGCGGCGAAGCGCATGCGGTGCGCGGCGTTCGAATACGGCCCACTACACGCGCGATAACGATGCGTGCGCCGATACCGAACTGTGTGCCATAGTGGTCGGATTCACTGACACAATACAGCCAAAGGACTTTACTAACTTACTCCTAGTACATTCTATCCAACAATTATTCCTGCAACGAGTTCTAAACTGCCGAAAGGTACTTATTACTGAACTGCCTCAGCTCTTAAACGCATAACATCCACGGAAATATAACTGCGATCATCTGGAATTTCCTCTCAACCGAACCGAAATTGAAATTGAACTAAACCAAAACAAGGAGACTATATTAGATCCCAATGCGGTATGATTTCACATTCAGACTNATCTCACAATTAATATCGCGGTACATCAGAACCCAAAGAAAATCTTCGTTAAGAAGTTTCTCTATCTCTTCGTAGAATCATGCTGACTCAGCATTGTAGAATCAAAAAGTTCATATCATGCTAGTTCAATTTATGGACCAAATTATCATGCTTGACGACAATTTCGCGAGTGGTAATTTCGCGGTCCGGTTGAATTATGGAATTATTAAGTATATTCGGTAATGAATAATTGCGCGAGTGTGTGTATGTATTTATTTTGTTAGTATCCTTTCCTCATATAACATCAAAACTGAAACATTTTTACATTTACAGAGATTTCTACAATTAAAGGTCCTGTGCAGGGGCAATGCAGAGGGACAATATCGGTCAGCACAACAAAGATACAGGTCGTCATATTGGAAATCCGTTTGTATAAAAAATTAATGACATATGACACGTAACAAAGAGCAATGACACACATAACATTGTTCAGCACAGGGGGGAGTCCACAACCGACTCGTCGGAATTGCACGACTCTTCTCATCAACGGGACTTTCGCGGTCCTTCATTTAAGAGGACAGCAATAGGAAGTAGTGCGACGATGAAGACTGAACAACGGCAACTTGAGATGACGCACTTGCCGACGGCAACTTTGGAATGACCGACGTTGAAGCGAACAACTTGCAATACGCAAACATGAGGGAAACTTATGACGGAACGGAACGAGACGATGATGGAGACGTATACGCGACGCAGACGAGACGATACGAGACGAAGACGAGACGATACGAGACATGAGGAGACGAGGACGGAGACAAGATCAGAGACGAACGAATGAGGAACGATGACTACTATGGAAATAAAACCCAGACCCTATACCCTGCAGCAGTAGTAACATATTTCTGCATGTTTGTGTATGCAGTAAGCAAGAAATAAGAAGTACATGTGGTAATATATAAATATTTTAATATATATAAAAATATATAATATGGTTCGCGCCATCATAACACTGGCCACGGCATTTACTAATTGGCAAGCTATATCGTAATAAAACATCTTTCATTACCATAACAATTGTTTGAGATGTTATATCATCAACGTTATATAATCCGACACATTCTTCATGAGGATTCAACAATTCATCAACCCATCGTATAACAAACACCGCTTGTTCTTTATTACACGAGTCCGTAGCTTCGTCTGTCATTATTGTATAGAAATTGGCTTTTTGGAGATCAGAAGCAATTTTATCAGTCGCCTCTGCAGCGAGAACACCCAGTATTTCGTTTTGAATATCTTTGCTTGTATATTTAATACTTTTCTTCTTTAT